TTATTATCATTATTATTGTTATTGTTATTATTATAATGTGTGTTTCAGGTTTCCCGTCTGCCGGGTCTGCAAAGTTCCAACATCATGTTGGACACGCTGACAGGCAGGGAGGACTCCATCGGATTTGAAGATTTTCTCAACAGTAAGTTGTCGTAGGATGGGTTTTCTTACCTCATTTTCCCTCTATATTGTCTGCCTACTTCCTCAACAGTAAGTAATAACTTGTCACAGGACGGGTTTTCTTACCTCAGCTTTTTTCTATATTGTCTGAAGACTTTAGTTTTAGTAATAAGAGTTTTACGGCACTTGCAACACGATTAGGTCATATGAGTGCCGAAGAATAGATTTGTTGCAAGAGAGTAACATACACAAAAAAGGAGGAGAGATTTATAAGGATGATAGATGTTTGATAGAAGAGAAGAAGTCAACCACACCAGAGCACCCGCCAACCACCCACTGGCTGCAGACATGCCAAGTACTTCGATAAAGTCTGAGCCATCCAGTTTTTGTTTTTTACCTGTGGAAGAACCCTAAACGGATTTGGATGAAATCCACTTTTTACCCTTGATGAATTGTTTCCATAGTTGGTACACAACTTATCATAAATGACATGAAAATGTGCAGGTTTTTAAGCCCATCTTATTGTAAATGAAGTGAAAATGTGCAGGTTTATAAGCCCGTCTTATTGTAAATGACGTGAAAATGTGCAGGTTTATAAGCCCGTCTTATTGTAAATGACGTGAAAATATGCAGGTTTATAAGCCCGTCCTATTGTAAATGACGTGAAAATATGCAGGTTTATAAGCCCGTCTTATTGTAAATGACGTGAAAATATGCAGGTTTATAAGCCCGTCCTATTGTAAATGACGTGAAAATATGCAGGTTTATAAGCCCGTCTTATTGTAAATGACATGAAAATATGCAGGTTTATAAGCCCGTCTTAATGTAAATGATGTGAAAATATGCAGGTTTATAAGCCCGTCTTATTGTAAATGAGGTGAAAATAAACAGGGTTGTTACACAAACTGCTATTTGTGACTGCTGGTTTGTAGTGTAGCTATGGGGATTCTGGAGACTCCCGATTTTACGGTAGTTCATCTCCTGAACCATTGTGCAGTTCCTTTAGGTTGTCATGAAAGAATATTAGGCAACTTTTTATTTTTGCAATATGGCTGCTTCTGCTTTTTTCAGTTTAGAAGTTTATAGGTTAAAGTTTTGCAAGGGTGCCTTACTTTGCTTAGAAGACGTGAGGGGTGTTGTTTTTAAAAAAATCAGGGATGATGTTTTTCTATTTTCCCCCCTATTTTCCACCTTGTTTTCATAAAAGGAACAGTTATCATTCTTAGCATTTGTATTCTGTTTAATCCCACATTATTCATGCCTTTTTATTTCAACATGGGCAGCTTTGTAAATGTTCAGGTGTTTTCACTAAACTGCATCGGCATCCTTGTATTATCAGGTGCTTTCTGCTTTTTCTGCGATGTTTCAAACGACATGATCTGATTGGTGGGTTGTTTTTTTTCCAGACCCAGCAGACAGTGAAGTGATGGGCCAGCCTCATATCCTGATGGAGAAACGACTAGGACTTTTGTAATGTCCGACTCACACTTGCAGTATCGCGTTCATGTTTCTGCTACCCTCTCGGCCACTGCCGACTGGGGGTTTTGTTTTCACGTAGGAATGCATGAAAGACTGTTGTCTAGATATCTGGTGAAGACGATTGTGTGTATATGTATGTGTAAGTGTGTGTGAATGTTTCATTTACTTTATTTCATCGCATTTTTTATGGATAGTTTTGGATGATCACTTCTCGTATTTTTTTTTTGTAGCACGTTCCCAGTCCTGGTCTTGTACCAGATTCACATCTCATTTAAGGCACATGCCTTGAAACAGACTCTGTTCCTAAACTGAAGGGACTTGTTTTTCCATTCTCAAAGTTTTCTTTATATTATAAAGATATGGTGTTTGTTAGGCAAACTGATGCGAGTGAAAGTGTCATGTGTGAAGATAGATATTTGAAATTGAAATGTTTGGCTTTTCAAATAAATGTTCAATGACAAGTAAAACATGGCTTACATTTGTTTTTGTTGTTGTTATTGTTGTTGTAGTAGAAGTAGTAGTAGTAGTGGTGTTTCTAGGTTGGGAGAAAAATTATGATAGCATTTCAACACATTGTTGGCTCAGAACTATTTTGTCCAAAGGGTACTTAAGTAAAGAGGTACTTTGGACAGAATAGTTCTGAGGCAACAACACGTCATAAGACAATGTTTATTATTGGCAGTTTGGTGTAAGTTTTATGGTCTGTGGTCTAGTTAGTTAATGCTGTCTGGACTGAGCTCTGGTCCTGAACATAGATGGGATCGGAATGTTGCATTTTTCTCAAGATGACGATGTAAACATGTGGTGTAATTTTTGTACGAAGCTTTAGTTGAATCATTTTCCTAAATGGAAATGAAAAATATTCCCAGAATCCTGCTGAAGTTTAGGTGAAAAACTACTTTCACTTTAGTGAGGTACTTGAGACCCAGCATCTTTACACTTGGCTTGCTATTACAAAAATCACTAGCTTGAAGAATGTTTGAAAACTTTTCAAACCAGCACGTAGTCTAAAGACATGTGTAGCCGTATGCACTGCTCACAGCCGAACGCTCCGTATCCCGGACTCTAGCATGGAGATCATCAGGAGAGAATGCGTCTCTGTTTCGGGCTCTACCTCTCTATTATGGTGCTATTTTGTGTTACATTTAGTGAAAAAAAGTTTTCCAAAACTGAAAATAGTGGGGCACGAAAAAAATTTATGGAAAAAATGTTTTACTGATAGATAAGTAAAATTAAATGTAGAACAAAAAAGAAAAATGTATTATCTGAGCCAAAAATATATCATGTTTACATTCTTGAGAATTAAAAAAAAAGTAGACACATGGCCTCAAGCACAGGCTGATAAAGTAAAAAATCAATGCATGTTTGATCAAAACGAGTTTCTATGAAAAAACTAGTTTCATCACCTGAACCCTAATTTAAAAAGATTTTCATTTATTTTAATTAGGAATTATTTTGATGGTGGTAGGGCCTTCACGGTGGACTGGGTAAAATTTAAAACCCACATCTTTATAACCTAACTTACAAAACGTATAATATCTGAAAAACTGGGTGGGACATCTGGAAAAAAAATCCACTGTGTTCGACATTGATTAATTTTTAAATTAAAAATCCCCCTCATTTAAAGAATTTAAAAATCTGACATTCGGTACCTCTCTTCAGGCGCCCACACATTTTACTTATTGTCACACAGAAGACCCCTTGAGTACAGTAGACGAACCTGGCTATCGTGTCTCAGTCCTGGTACAGACAAACGATATCATTTGTAGCGCAAATCCCCGCTTAACAGCAAGCTCTATGCCCTTCACGATCTATACTATTACATGTACTCCAGCAGAGACTTGAGAACAAGCTGAAACAACAGGCTGGGAAACATACGGTGCAGCACACACTAGCCTCAGGCCTCTAGGCCTACCACGTACATTGAGACTTGTCACCAAAAAATTCCATTCTTTTGGGAAAATTTCAAGCTGCCAAGATAGTGCATTGTTGCAACAACAAAAAATTAATTTAAAAGAAAAAAAATTAA